CACCTTCTGCCCGGGAGACTGAACAAAGGAGAGGAGCAGCGGGAGGGGCTGGGAGTTTAGTTTCGGTTGGGGCTGGGTGGTGCAAGGCAGGGAACCCCAAGGCTAGGGGGTCTAAGCTCCCTGAACCTCCCAGAGGGACCTAATTGAGGGGGGTCTGGTCGTACCTACACGCTCTGCTTGAGACTGTGTTCCTGTCCTTGAATAAACCTTCTGCTTTACTGGCTGGCTGAGAGTCGCAGTGAATCTCGGGAAGAGGGGTGCAGGGCCCTAACTCCCCCACAATCCGCTACACCAGGCATCCTGTCTCCCAGCCTCCCCTCCCCGAGCCGGGAGAGAACCCTGGCGTCCTGTCTCCCAGCCCCCCACTCCCCTCCCCGAGCCGGGAGAGAACCCAGGCGTCCTGTCTCCCAGCCCCCCACTCCCCCTCCCCGAGCCGGGAGAGAACCCAGGCGTCCAAGCTGCCCCAGCCCCCGCCGCGAGGGGCACTCACCCAGGGCGTTGAAGCCGCGGCACTGGCGAACGGGGTCTCCGTGTTTGATATCCTGGCGCCGGACACGCCTGGCGAGGGGGGAGTGGGGGGAGACACAGCGTCAGCTCCCTACCAGCTCCCCCCTCAAGCTGCACCTTCCGCCCCCTCTGCCCCCCCCCGCTCGAAGCCCCCACCCCTGGGGCGCGGGACCCAGGCGTCCGGGCGGCTCACTTGGTGGGGGCGGGGCTGTAGCGGGCCCCTCCCCCGGGGCGCGGGACCCAGGCATCCGGGCGGCTCACTTGGCGGGGGCGGGGCTGTAGCGGGCCCCTCCCCCCGGGGCGCGGGACCCAGGCGTCCGGGCGGCTCACCTGGCGGGGGCGGGGCTGTAGCGGGCGCAGCGGCGGCCGTCCCAGGCGCAGTGGGGGTCCCGGGCCAGGCAGCAGTCGGCGCAGGCCGGGCCGTAGGCCCCACAGCGATGGAGGCTCAGCTGGGTCAGGCCCACGTCCGAGGAGACGTACAGCTGGTGCTGGGGGGAGACGCGCACCTGAGGGACGGACCCCCCCCGACCCACTGACCCCCCCACCCTCCCAGAGCCAGGGAGAGAACCCAGGAGTCCTGGCTCC